GTACTGACCGAGCCCAATGCTGCTTAGCTTCGGTGATCGGACGAGAACCGGCGCATTCAGCATGGTATGGCCGATGGCGAAAATCTACATTTTACAACACAACCTATAACGAACTACAGGCGATTTCTATCTTTCCAAGTTACAGTTAACGGCTTATGCAGCGTGTTATATTATCCTGGTAAAGAACTTCGAAGGTACGTGACAATAATGTCTGTTGTTCTCCGGCAGAGAGCTTGCTCTGTTCCTTCGCTGGGGCGCACCAGCACGGGCGCACCAACGTTCACGCACAGCTCTGTGTGCAATTGCGGGCCGCCGCCACCGGCCATGCTCGTAAGTCATTTTCTGTAACTTAACGAACGTCTGTTGCGTCGGCTTTTATAACTGAGTGGCACACGAGGGACCGACATAAAGCAGGAATATTGGAATGCCCATTAATGCTATTGTAACCTGGCCACGGTGGTCTCGTGGCTAAGGCACTCGGATGCTGACCCGCAAGTCACGCCCCCCCCCCCCCCCGCCCTGTTCCTTCTTTGAACAAAAATAAAATAAAAGATAAAGGGAGGTTGAAAAAAAAAATAGAGTATGTCACGCGCACTGGGTGCAACATTTAACCACATGTGCGCACGCATCAAATTTTGATTGCCTATATACGTATGGTCATGTGCGCGATTGATACGGGCAACCAAACACGTCGCAAAATTAAACAACTCTCTCCTTCTGCCTACGTTCCTTCTCTGCAATAAAAAAGAGAAATTTCGAAAAGTAAAAGAAGGTGCCATCAGCACTCGGTGTTCCCAGGTGGTCTCCCTCCCAAGTACTGACCGAGCCCAATGCTGCTTAGCTTCGGTGATCGGACGAGAACCGGCGCATTCAGCATGGTATGGCCGATGGCGAAAATCTACATTTTACAACACAACCTATAACGAACTACAGGCGATTTCTATCTTTCCAAGTTACAGTTAACGGCTTATGCAGCGTGTTATATTATCCTGGTAAAGAACTTCGAAGGTACGTGACAATAATGTCTGTTGTTCTCCGGCAGAGAGCTTGCTCTGTTCCTTCGCTGGGGCGCACCAGCACGGGCGCACCAACGTTCACGCACAGCTCTGTGTGCAATTGCGGGCCGCCGCCACCGGCCATGCTCGTAAGTCATTTTCTGTAACTTAACGAACGTCTGTTGCGTCGGCTTTTATAACTGAGTGGCACACGAGGGACCGACATAAAGCAGGAATATTGGAATGCCCATTAATGCTATTGTAACCTGGCCACGGTGGTCTCGTGGCTAAGGCACTCGGATGCTGACCCGCAAGTCACGCCCCCCCCCCCCCCCGCCCTGTTCCTTCTTTGAACAAAAATAAAATAAAAGATAAAGGGAGGTTGAAAAAAAAAATAGAGTATGTCACGCGCACTGGGTGCAACATTTAACCACATGTGCGCACGCATCAAATTTTGATTGCCTATATACGTATGGTCATGTGCGCGATTGATACGGGCAACCAAACACGTCGCAAAATTAAACAACTCTCTCCTTCTGCCTACGTTCCTTCTCTGCAATAAAAAAGAGAAATTTCGAAAAGTAAAAGAAGGTGCCATCAGCACTCGGTGTTCCCAGGTGGTCTCCCTCCCAAGTACTGACCGAGCCCAATGCTGCTTAGCTTCGGTGATCGGACGAGAACCGGCGCATTCAGCATGGTATGGCCGATGGCGAAAATCTACATTTTACAACACAACCTATAACGAACTACAGGCGATTTCTATCTTTCCAAGTTACAGTTAACGGCTTATGCAGCGTGTTATATTATCCTGGTAAAGAACTTCGAAGGTACGTGACAATAATGTCTGTTGTTCTCCGGCAGAGAGCTTGCTCTGTTCCTTCGCTGGGGCGCACCAGCACGGGCGCACCAACGTTCACGCACAGCTCTGTGTGCAATTGCGGGCCGCCGCCACCGGCCATGCTCGTAAGTCATTTTCTGTAACTTAACGAACGTCTGTTGCGTCGGCTTTTATAACTGAGTGGCACACGAGGGACCGACATAAAGCAGGAATATTGGAATGCCCATTAATGCTATTGTAACCTGGCCACGGTGGTCTCGTGGCTAAGGCACTCGGATGCTGACCCGCAAGTCACGCCCCCCCCCCCCCCCGCCCTGTTCCTTCTTTGAACAAAAATAAAATAAAAGATAAAGGGAGGTTGAAAAAAAAAATAGAGTATGTCACGCGCACTGGGTGCAACATTTAACCACATGTGCGCACGCATCAAATTTTGATTGCCTATATACGTATGGTCATGTGCGCGATTGATACGGGCAACCAAACACGTCGCAAAATTAAACAACTCTCTCCTTCTGCCTACGTTCCTTCTCTGCAATAAAAAAGAGAAATTTCGAAAAGTAAAAGAAGGTGCCATCAGCACTCGGTGTTCCCAGGTGGTCTCCCTCCCAAGTACTGACCGAGCCCAATGCTGCTTAGCTTCGGTGATCGGACGAGAACCGGCGCATTCAGCATGGTATGGCCGATGGCGAAAATCTACATTTTACAACACAACCTATAACGAACTACAGGCGATTTCTATCTTTCCAAGTTACAGTTAACGGCTTATGCAGCGTGTTATATTATCCTGGTAAAGAACTTCGAAGGTACGTGACAATAATGTCTGTTGTTCTCCGGCAGAGAGCTTGCTCTGTTCCTTCGCTGGGGCGCACCAGCACGGGCGCACCAACGTTCACGCACAGCTCTGTGTGCAATTGCGGGCCGCCGCCACCGGCCATGCTCGTAAGTCATTTTCTGTAACTTAACGAACGTCTGTTGCGTCGGCTTTTATAACTGAGTGGCACACGAGGGACCGACATAAAGCAGGAATATTGGAATGCCCATTAATGCTATTGTAACCTGGCCACGGTGGTCTCGTGGCTAAGGCACTCGGATGCTGACCCGCAAGTCACGCCCCCCCCCCCCCCCGCCCTGTTCCTTCTTTGAACAAAAATAAAATAAAAGATAAAGGGAGGTTGAAAAAAAAAATAGAGTATGTCACGCGCACTGGGTGCAACATTTAACCACATGTGCGCACGCATCAAATTTTGATTGCCTATATACGTATGGTCATGTGCGCGATTGATACGGGCAACCAAACACGTCGCAAAATTAAACAACTCTCTCCTTCTGCCTACGTTCCTTCTCTGCAATAAAAAAGAGAAATTTCGAAAAGTAAAAGAAGGTGCCATCAGCACTCGGTGTTCCCAGGTGGTCTCCCTCCCAAGTACTGACCGAGCCCAATGCTGCTTAGCTTCGGTGATCGGACGAGAACCGGCGCATTCAGCATGGTATGGCCGATGGCGAAAATCTACATTTTACAACACAACCTATAACGAACTACAGGCGATTTCTATCTTTCCAAGTTACAGTTAACGGCTTATGCAGCGTGTTATATTATCCTGGTAAAGAACTTCGAAGGTACGTGACAATAATGTCTGTTGTTCTCCGGCAGAGAGCTTGCTCTGTTCCTTCGCTGGGGCGCACCAGCACGGGCGCACCAACGTTCACGCACAGCTCTGTGTGCAATTGCGGGCCGCCGCCACCGGCCATGCTCGTAAGTCATTTTCTGTAACTTAACGAACGTCTGTTGCGTCGGCTTTTATAACTGAGTGGCACACGAGGGACCGACATAAAGCAGGAATATTGGAATGCCCATTAATGCTATTGTAACCTGGCCACGGTGGTCTCGTGGCTAAGGCACTCGGATGCTGACCCGCAAGTCACGCCCCCCCCCCCCCCCGCCCTGTTCCTTCTTTGAACAAAAATAAAATAAAAGATAAAGGGAGGTTGAAAAAAAAAATAGAGTATGTCACGCGCACTGGGTGCAACATTTAACCACATGTGCGCACGCATCAAATTTTGATTGCCTATATACGTATGGTCATGTGCGCGATTGATACGGGCAACCAAACACGTCGCAAAATTAAACAACTCTCTCCTTCTGCCTACGTTCCTTCTCTGCAATAAAAAAGAGAAATTTCGAAAAGTAAAAGAAGGTGCCATCAGCACTCGGTGTTCCCAGGTGGTCTCCCTCCCAAGTACTGACCGAGCCCAATGCTGCTTAGCTTCGGTGATCGGACGAGAACCGGCGCATTCAGCATGGTATGGCCGATGGCGAAAATCTACATTTTACAACACAACCTATAACGAACTACAGGCGATTTCTATCTTTCCAAGTTACAGTTAACGGCTTATGCAGCGTGTTATATTATCCTGGTAAAGAACTTCGAAGGTACGTGACAATAATGTCTGTTGTTCTCCGGCAGAGAGCTTGCTCTGTTCCTTCGCTGGGGCGCACCAGCACGGGCGCACCAACGTTCACGCACAGCTCTGTGTGCAATTGCGGGCCGCCGCCACCGGCCATGCTCGTAAGTCATTTTCTGTAACTTAACGAACGTCTGTTGCGTCGGCTTTTATAACTGAGTGGCACACGAGGGACCGACATAAAGCAGGAATATTGGAATGCCCATTAATGCTATTGTAACCTGGCCACGGTGGTCTCGTGGCTAAGGCACTCGGATGCTGACCCGCAAGTCACGCCCCCCCCCCCCCCCGCCCTGTTCCTTCTTTGAACAAAAATAAAATAAAAGATAAAGGGAGGTTGAAAAAAAAAATAGAGTATGTCACGCGCACTGGGTGCAACATTTAACCACATGTGCGCACGCATCAAATTTTGATTGCCTATATACGTATGGTCATGTGCGCGATTGATACGGGCAACCAAACACGTCGCAAAATTAAACAACTCTCTCCTTCTGCCTACGTTCCTTCTCTGCAATAAAAAAGAGAAATTTCGAAAAGTAAAAGAAGGTGCCATCAGCACTCGGTGTTCCCAGGTGGTCTCCCTCCCAAGTACTGACCGAGCCCAATGCTGCTTAGCTTCGGTGATCGGACGAGAACCGGCGCATTCAGCATGGTATGGCCGATGGCGAAAATCTACATTTTACAACACAACCTATAACGAACTACAGGCGATTTCTATCTTTCCAAGTTACAGTTAACGGCTTATGCAGCGTGTTATATTATCCTGGTAAAGAACTTCGAAGGTACGTGACAATAATGTCTGTTGTTCTCCGGCAGAGAGCTTGCTCTGTTCCTTCGCTGGGGCGCACCAGCACGGGCGCACCAACGTTCACGCACAGCTCTGTGTGCAATTGCGGGCCGCCGCCACCGGCCATGCTCGTAAGTCATTTTCTGTAACTTAACGAACGTCTGTTGCGTCGGCTTTTATAACTGAGTGGCACACGAGGGACCGACATAAAGCAGGAATATTGGAATGCCCATTAATGCTATTGTAACCTGGCCACGGTGGTCTCGTGGCTAAGGCACTCGGATGCTGACCCGCAAGTCACGCCCCCCCCCCCCCCCCGCCCTGTTCCTTCTTTGAACAAAAATAAAATAAAAGATAAAGGGAGGTTGAAAAAAAAAATAGAGTATGTCACGCGCACTGGGTGCAACATTTAACCACATGTGCGCACGCATCAAATTTTGATTGCCTATATACGTATGGTCATGTGCGCGATTGATACGGGCAACCAAACACGTCGCAAAATTAAACAACTCTCTCCTTCTGCCTACGTTCCTTCTCTGCAATAAAAAAGAGAAATTTCGAAAAGTAAAAGAAGGTGCCATCAGCACTCGGTGTTCCCAGGTGGTCTCCCTCCCAAGTACTGACCGAGCCCAATGCTGCTTAGCTTCGGTGATCGGACGAGAACCGGCGCATTCAGCATGGTATGGCCGATGGCGAAAATCTACATTTTACAACACAACCTATAACGAACTACAGGCGATTTCTATCTTTCCAAGTTACAGTTAACGGCTTATGCAGCGTGTTATATTATCCTGGTAAAGAACTTCGAAGGTACGTGACAATAATGTCTGTTGTTCTCCGGCAGAGAGCTTGCTCTGTTCCTTCGCTGGGGCGCACCAGCACGGGCGCACCAACGTTCACGCACAGCTCTGTGTGCAATTGCGGGCCGCCGCCACCGGCCATGCTCGTAAGTCATTTTCTGTAACTTAACGAACGTCTGTTGCGTCGGCTTTTATAACTGAGTGGCACACGAGGGACCGACATAAAGCAGGAATATTGGAATGCCCATTAATGCTATTGTAACCTGGCCACGGTGGTCTCGTGGCTAAGGCACTCGGATGCTGACCCGCAAGTCACGCCCCCCCCCCCCCCCGCCCTGTTCCTTCTTTGAACAAAAATAAAATAAAAGATAAAGGGAGGTTGAAAAAAAAAATAGAGTATGTCACGCGCACTGGGTGCAACATTTAACCACATGTGCGCACGCATCAAATTTTGATTGCCTATATACGTATGGTCATGTGCGCGATTGATACGGGCAACCAAACACGTCGCAAAATTAAACAACTCTCTCCTTCTGCCTACGTTCCTTCTCTGCAATAAAAAAGAGAAATTTCGAAAAGTAAAAGAAGGTGCCATCAGCACTCGGTGTTCCCAGGTGGTCTCCCTCCCAAGTACTGACCGAGCCCAATGCTGCTTAGCTTCGGTGATCGGACGAGAACCGGCGCATTCAGCATGGTATGGCCGATGGCGAAAATCTACATTTTACAACACAACCTATAACGAACTACAGGCGATTTCTATCTTTCCAAGTTACAGTTAACGGCTTATGCAGCGTGTTATATTATCCTGGTAAAGAACTTCGAAGGTACGTGACAATAATGTCTGTTGTTCTCCGGCAGAGAGCTTGCTCTGTTCCTTCGCTGGGGCGCACCAGCACGGGCGCACCAACGTTCACGCACAGCTCTGTGTGCAATTGCGGGCCGCCGCCACCGGCCATGCTCGTAAGTCATTTTCTGTAACTTAACGAACGTCTGTTGCGTCGGCTTTTATAACTGAGTGGCACACGAGGGACCGACATAAAGCAGGAATATTGGAATGCCCATTAATGCTATTGTAACCTGGCCACGGTGGTCTCGTGGCTAAGGCACTCGGATGCTGACCCGCAAGTCACGCCCCCCCCCCCCCCCGCCCTGTTCCTTCTTTGAACAAAAATAAAATAAAAGATAAAGGGAGGTTGAAAAAAAAAATAGAGTATGTCACGCGCACTGGGTGCAACATTTAACCACATGTGCGCACGCATCAAATTTTGATTGCCTATATACGTATGGTCATGTGCGCGATTGATACGGGCAACCAAACACGTCGCAAAATTAAACAACTCTCTCCTTCTGCCTACGTTCCTTCTCTGCAATAAAAAAGAGAAATTTCGAAAAGTAAAAGAAGGTGCCATCAGCACTCGGTGTTCCCAGGTGGTCTCCCTCCCAAGTACTGACCGAGCCCAATGCTGCTTAGCTTCGGTGATCGGACGAGAACCGGCGCATTCAGCATGGTATGGCCGATGGCGAAAATCTACATTTTACAACACAACCTATAACGAACTACAGGCGATTTCTATCTTTCCAAGTTACAGTTAACGGCTTATGCAGCGTGTTATATTATCCTGGTAAAGAACTTCGAAGGTACGTGACAATAATGTCTGTTGTTCTCCGGCAGAGAGCTTGCTCTGTTCCTTCGCTGGGGCGCACCAGCACGGGCGCACCAACGTTCACGCACAGCTCTGTGTGCAATTGCGGGCCGCCGCCACCGGCCATGCTCGTAAGTCATTTTCTGTAACTTAACGAACGTCTGTTGCGTCGGCTTTTATAACTGAGTGGCACACGAGGGACCGACATAAAGCAGGAATATTGGAATGCCCATTAATGCTATTGTAACCTGGCCACGGTGGTCTCGTGGCTAAGGCACTCGGATGCTGACCCGCAAGTCACGCCCCCCCCCCCCCCCGCCCTGTTCCTTCTTTGAACAAAAATAAAATAAAAGATAAAGGGAGGTTGAAAAAAAAAATAGAGTATGTCACGCGCACTGGGTGCAACATTTAACCACATGTGCGCACGCATCAAATTTTGATTGCCTATATACGTATGGTCATGTGCGCGATTGATACGGGCAACCAAACACGTCGCAAAATTAAACAACTCTCTCCTTCTGCCTACGTTCCTTCTCTGCAATAAAAAAGAGAAATTTCGAAAAGTAAAAGAAGGTGCCATCAGCACTCGGTGTTCCCAGGTGGTCTCCCTCCCAAGTACTGACCGAGCCCAATGCTGCTTAGCTTCGGTGATCGGACGAGAACCGGCGCATTCAGCATGGTATGGCCGATGGCGAAAATCTACATTTTACAACACAACCTATAACGAACTACAGGCGATTTCTATCTTTCCAAGTTACAGTTAACGGCTTATGCAGCGTGTTATATTATCCTGGTAAAGAACTTCGAAGGTACGTGACAATAATGTCTGTTGTTCTCCGGCAGAGAGCTTGCTCTGTTCCTTCGCTGGGGCGCACCAGCACGGGCGCACCAACGTTCACGCACAGCTCTGTGTGCAATTGCGGGCCGCCGCCACCGGCCATGCTCGTAAGTCATTTTCTGTAACTTAACGAACGTCTGTTGCGTCGGCTTTTATAACTGAGTGGCACACGAGGGACCGACATAAAGCAGGAATATTGGAATGCCCATTAATGCTATTGTAACCTGGCCACGGTGGTCTCGTGGCTAAGGCACTCGGATGCTGACCCGCAAGTCACGCCCCCCCCCCCCCCCCGCCCTGTTCCTTCTTTGAACAAAAATAAAATAAAAGATAAAGGGAGGTTGAAAAAAAAAATAGAGTATGTCACGCGCACTGGGTGCAACATTTAACCACATGTGCGCACGCATCAAATTTTGATTGCCTATATACGTATGGTCATGTGCGCGATTGATACGGGCAACCAAACACGTCGCAAAATTAAACAACTCTCTCCTTCTGCCTACGTTCCTTCTCTGCAATAAAAAAGAGAAATTTCGAAAAGTAAAAGAAGGTGCCATCAGCACTCGGTGTTCCCAGGTGGTCTCCCTCCCAAGTACTGACCGAGCCCAATGCTGCTTAGCTTCGGTGATCGGACGAGAACCGGCGCATTCAGCATGGTATGGCCGATGGCGAAAATCTACATTTTACAACACAACCTATAACGAACTACAGGCGATTTCTATCTTTCCAAGTTACAGTTAACGGCTTATGCAGCGTGTTATATTATCCTGGTAAAGAACTTCGAAGGTACGTGACAATAATGTCTGTTGTTCTCCGGCAGAGAGCTTGCTCTGTTCCTTCGCTGGGGCGCACCAGCACGGGCGCACCAACGTTCACGCACAGCTCTGTGTGCAATTGCGGGCCGCCGCCACCGGCCATGCTCGTAAGTCATTTTCTGTAACTTAACGAACGTCTGTTGCGTCGGCTTTTATAACTGAGTGGCACACGAGGGACCGACATAAAGCAGGAATATTGGAATGCCCATTAATGCTATTGTAACCTGGCCACGGTGGTCTCGTGGCTAAGGCACTCGGATGCTGACCCGCAAGTCACGCCCCCCCCCCCCCCGCCCTGTTCCTTCTTTGAACAAAAATAAAATAAAAGATAAAGGGAGGTTGAAAAAAAAAATAGAGTATGTCACGCGCACTGGGTGCAACATTTAACCACATGTGCGCACGCATCAAATTTTGATTGCCTATATACGTATGGTCATGTGCGCGATTGATACGGGCAACCAAACACGTCGCAAAATTAAACAACTCTCTCCTTCTGCCTACGTTCCTTCTCTGCAATAAAAAAGAGAAATTTCGAAAAGTAAAAGAAGGTGCCATCAGCACTCGGTGTTCCCAGGTGGTCTCCCTCCCAAGTACTGACCGAGCCCAATGCTGCTTAGCTTCGGTGATCGGACGAGAACCGGCGCATTCAGCATGGTATGGCCGATGGCGAAAATCTACATTTTACAACACAACCTATAACGAACTACAGGCGATTTCTATCTTTCCAAGTTACAGTTAACGGCTTATGCAGCGTGTTATATTATCCTGGTAAAGAACTTCGAAGGTACGTGACAATAATGTCTGTTGTTCTCCGGCAGAGAGCTTGCTCTGTTCCTTCGCTGGGGCGCACCAGCACGGGCGCACCAACGTTCACGCACAGCTCTGTGTGCAATTGCGGGCCGCCGCCACCGGCCATGCTCGTAAGTCATTTTCTGTAACTTAACGAACGTCTGTTGCGTCGGCTTTTATAACTGAGTGGCACACGAGGGACCGACATAAAGCAGGAATATTGGAATGCCCATTAATGCTATTGTAACCTGGCCACGGTGGTCTCGTGGCTAAGGCACTCGGATGCTGACCCGCAAGTCACGCCCCCCCCCCCCCCCCGCCCTGTTCCTTCTTTGAACAAAAATAAAATAAAAGATAAAGGGAGGTTGAAAAAAAAAATAGAGTATGTCACGCGCACTGGGTGCAACATTTAACCACATGTGCGCACGCATCAAATTTTGATTGCCTATATACGTATGGTCATGTGCGCGATTGATACGGGCAACCAAACACGTCGCAAAATTAAACAACTCTCTCCTTCTGCCTACGTTCCTTCTCTGCAATAAAAAAGAGAAATTTCGAAAAGTAAAAGAAGGTGCCATCAGCACTCGGTGTTCCCAGGTGGTCTCCCTCCCAAGTACTGACCGAGCCCAATGCTGCTTAGCTTCGGTGATCGGACGAGAACCGGCGCATTCAGCATGGTATGGCCGATGGCGAAAATCTACATTTTACAACACAACCTATAACGAACTACAGGCGATTTCTATCTTTCCAAGTTACAGTTAACGGCTTATGCAGCGTGTTATATTATCCTGGTAAAGAACTTCGAAGGTACGTGACAATAATGTCTGTTGTTCTCCGGCAGAGAGCTTGCTCTGTTCCTTCGCTGGGGCGCACCAGCACGGGCGCACCAACGTTCACGCACAGCTCTGTGTGCAATTGCGGGCCGCCGCCACCGGCCATGCTCGTAAGTCATTTTCTGTAACTTAACGAACGTCTGTTGCGTCGGCTTTTATAACTGAGTGGCACACGAGGGACCGACATAAAGCAGGAATATTGGAATGCCCATTAATGCTATTGTAACCTGGCCACGGTGGTCTCGTGGCTAAGGCACTCGGATGCTGACCCGCAAGTCACGCCCCCCCCCCCCCCCGCCCTGTTCCTTCTTTGAACAAAAATAAAATAAAAGATAAAGGGAGGTTGAAAAAAAAAATAGAGTATGTCACGCGCACTGGGTGCAACATTTAACCACATGTGCGCACGCATCAAATTTTGATTGCCTATATACGTATGGTCATGTGCGCGATTGATACGGGCAACCAAACACGTCGCAAAATTAAACAACTCTCTCCTTCTGCCTACGTTCCTTCTCTGCAATAAAAAAGAGAAATTTCGAAAAGTAAAAGAAGGTGCCATCAGCACTCGGTGTTCCCAGGTGGTCTCCCTCCCAAGTACTGACCGAGCCCAATGCTGCTTAGCTTCGGTGATCGGACGAGAACCGGCGCATTCAGCATGGTATGGCCGATGGCGAAAATCTACATTTTACAACACAACCTATAACGAACTACAGGCGATTTCTATCTTTCCAAGTTACAGTTAACGGCTTATGCAGCGTGTTATATTATCCTGGTAAAGAACTTCGAAGGTACGTGACAATAATGTCTGTTGTTCTCCGGCAGAGAGCTTGCTCTGTTCCTTCGCTGGGGCGCACCAGCACGGGCGCACCAACGTTCACGCACAGCTCTGTGTGCAATTGCGGGCCGCCGCCACCGGCCATGCTCGTAAGTCATTTTCTGTAACTTAACGAACGTCTGTTGCGTCGGCTTTTATAACTGAGTGGCACACGAGGGACCGACATAAAGCAGGAATATTGGAATGCCCATTAATGCTATTGTAACCTGGCCACGGTGGTCTCGTGGCTAAGGCACTCGGATGCTGACCCGCAAGTCACGCCCCCCCCCCCCCCCGCCCTGTTCCTTCTTTGAACAAAAATAAAATAAAAGATAAAGGGAGGTTGAAAAAAAAAATAGAGTATGTCACGCGCACTGGGTGCAACATTTAACCACATGTGCGCACGCATCAAATTTTGATTGCCTATATACGTATGGTCATGTGCGCGATTGATACGGGCAACCAAACACGTCGCAAAATTAAACAACTCTCTCCTTCTGCCTACGTTCCTTCTCTGCAATAAAAAAGAGAAATTTCGAAAAGTAAAAGAAGGTGCCATCAGCACTCGGTGTTCCCAGGTGGTCTCCCTCCCAAGTACTGACCGAGCCCAATGCTGCTTAGCTTCGGTGATCGGACGAGAACCGGCGCATTCAGCATGGTATGGCCGATGGCGAAAATCTACATTTTACAACACAACCTATAACGAACTACAGGCGATTTCTATCTTTCCAAGTTACAGTTAACGGCTTATGCAGCGTGTTATATTATCCTGGTAAAGAACTTCGAAGGTACGTGACAATAATGTCTGTTGTTCTCCGGCAGAGAGCTTGCTCTGTTCCTTCGCTGGGGCGCACCAGCACGGGCGCACCAACGTTCACGCACAGCTCTGTGTGCAATTGCGGGCCGCCGCCACCGGCCATGCTCGTAAGTCATTTTCTGTAACTTAACGAACGTCTGTTGCGTCGGCTTTTATAACTGAGTGGCACACGAGGGACCGACATAAAGCAGGAATATTGGAATGCCCATTAATGCTATTGTAACCTGGCCACGGTGGTCTCGTGGCTAAGGCACTCGGATGCTGACCCGCAAGTCACGCCCCCCCCCCCCCCCGCCCTGTTCCTTCTTTGAACAAAAATAAAATAAAAGATAAAGGGAGGTTGAAAAAAAAAATAGAGTATGTCACGCGCACTGGGTGCAACATTTAACCACATGTGCGCACGCATCAAATTTTGATTGCCTATATACGTATGGTCATGTGCGCGATTGATACGGGCAACCAAACACGTCGCAAAATTAAACAACTCTCTCCTTCTGCCTACGTTCCTTCTCTGCAATAAAAAAGAGAAATTTCGAAAAGTAAAAGAAGGTGCCATCAGCACTCGGTGTTCCCAGGTGGTCTCCCTCCCAAGTACTGACCGAGCCCAATGCTGCTTAGCTTCGGTGATCGGACGAGAACCGGCGCATTCAGCATGGTATGGCCGATGGCGAAAATCTACATTTTACAACACAACCTATAACGAACTACAGGCGATTTCTATCTTTCCAAGTTACAGTTAACGGCTTATGCAGCGTGTTATATTATCCTGGTAAAGAACTTCGAAGGTACGTGACAATAATGTCTGTTGTTCTCCGGCAGAGAGCTTGCTCTGTTCCTTCGCTGGGGCGCACCAGCACGGGCGCACCAACGTTCACGCACAGCTCTGTGTGCAATTGCGGGCCGCCGCCACCGGCCATGCTCGTAAGTCATTTTCTGTAACTTAACGAACGTCTGTTGCGTCGGCTTTTATAACTGAGTGGCACACGAGGGACCGACATAAAGCAGGAATATTGGAATGCCCATTAATGCTATTGTAACCTGGCCACGGTGGTCTCGTGGCTAAGGCACTCGGATGCTGACCCGCAAGTCACGCCCCCCCCCCCCCCCCGCCCTGTTCCTTCTTTGAACAAAAATAAAATAAAAGATAAAGGGAGGTTGAAAAAAAAAATAGAGTATGTCACGCGCACTGGGTGCAACATTTAACCACATGTGCGCACGCATCAAATTTTGATTGCCTATATACGTATGGTCATGTGCGCGATTGATACGGGCAACCAAACACGTCGCAAAATTAAACAACTCTCTCCTTCTGCCTACGTTCCTTCTCTGCAATAAAAAAGAGAAATTTCGAAAAGTAAAAGAAGGTGCCATCAGCACTCGGTGTTCCCAGGTGGTCTCCCTCCCAAGTACTGACCGAGCCCAATGCTGCTTAGCTTCGGTGATCGGACGAGAACCGGCGCATTCAGCATGGTATGGCCGATGGCGAAAATCTACATTTTACAACACAACCTATAACGAACTACAGGCGATTTCTATCTTTCCAAGTTACAGTTAACGGCTTATGCAGCGTGTTATATTATCCTGGTAAAGAACTTCGAAGGTACGTGACAATAATGTCTGTTGTTCTCCGGCAGAGAGCTTGCTCTGTTCCTTCGCTGGGGCGCACCAGCACGGGCGCACCAACGTTCACGCACAGCTCTGTGTGCAATTGCGGGCCGCCGCCACCGGCCATGCTCGTAAGTCATTTTCTGTAACTTAACGAACGTCTGTTGCGTCGGCTTTTATAACTGAGTGGCACACGAGGGACCGACATAAAGCAGGAATATTGGAATGCCCATTAATGCTATTGTAACCTGGCCACGGTGGTCTCGTGGCTAAGGCACTCGGATGCTGACCCGCAAGTCACGCCCCCCCCCCCCCCCGCCCTGTTCCTTCTTTGAACAAAAATAAAATAAAAGATAAAGGGAGGTTGAAAAAAAAAATAGAGTATGTCACGCGCACTGGGTGCAACATTTAACCACATGTGCGCACGCATCAAATTTTGATTGCCTATATACGTATGGTCATGTGCGCGATTGATACGGGCAACCAAACACGTCGCAAAATTAAACAACTCTCTCCTTCTGCCTACGTTCCTTCTCTGCAATAAAAAAGAGAAATTTCGAAAAGTAAAAGAAGGTGCCATCAGCACTCGGTTTCCCAGGTGGTCTCCCTCCCAAGTACTGACCGAGCCCAATGCTGCTTAGCTTCGGTGATCGGACGAGAACCGGCGCATTCAGCATGGTATGGCCGATGGCGAAAATCTACATTTTACAACACAACCTATAACGAACTACAGGCGATTTCTATCTTTCCAAGTTACAGTTAACGGCTTATGCAGCGTGTTATATTATCCTGGTAAAGAACTTCGAAGGTACGTGACAATAATGTCTGTTGTTCTCCGGCAGAGAGCTTGCTCTGTTCCTTCGCTGGGGCGCACCAGCACGGGCGCACCAACGTTCACGCACAGCTCTGTGTGCAATTGCGGGCCGCCGCCACCGGCCATGCTCGTAAGTCATTTTCTGTAACTTAACGTCCTCTTCTCGTACGTGGTAGAGCAACCAATGCAGCTTCAGACGGACGTCGCGGTGGCTTGGGTCGATTATCATGCATTTGAGGCCTTTCACAGTCAATTGCAGATCAGCTAAAAGTTTCTTTACACCTTCAGTGCTTCGGCACGTCACTGCCCACACGTGGTTCATTTGATAAGCGCCGAGCGCAAGAACCTCGGTGGGCTGAACACGTCGAAAAAGTGGCTCGCGAAAGTCTTCCGCGTGATAAGGTCTTCCTTTTACATCCGCATGCAGAAAAACAGTGTTCTGAACCACATATCCAGTCGGCAGAGGGCGCAAAATAACAGCATAATCCTGGGGCATTTCAATCCTGGAACCGCGGCTGAGCCGAGCCGCCGATGCCGCTCCAACGGAGCTCATGATACACACGTCCGCACGCTTTCGCAGCATGGTATGGCCGATGGCGAGAACAGGCCGTTCCTCAACACTACTTTTAACAAACTGTAGGCGATTTCCATCTTGTCAAGCTAAAATAACGGCTTATGCAACGCGTTAAATTCTCTTGGCGAAAAACTTCGAAGGTGCGTGGCTATACCCTCTGTGATTCTCCGACTGAAAGCTCTCTCTGTTCCTTCGTTGGGGCGCAAAAGCACGAGTGCGCCAACCTTTACGCACGGATGTGTGTGCGCTTGCGGGCCGCCGCCAGCGGCCATGCTCGTTAAGGGATTTTCCGTAACTTGAAGAACGTCTGTTGCGTCGGCTTTTATAACTGAGCCACACACGAGTGACCGATATAAAGCAGGTATATTTGGAAGACCAAGACACCCGCCACTGTGGTCTATAGTGGCTTGGCACTCGATGCTGGCCCGCAAGTCACGCAGTGTCGAATCCCGAGCTCGGCGGCCGCATTTTCTGTAGAGGCGAAAATGTTTGAGGCCCGTGAGCTTAGCTTATATTTGGCGCACGTTGAAACGAACAAACAAGAAGAACCCACGACGTCAAAATTTCCGGAGCACTCCACTACGGCGTATCCCATAATCATATGAACATCATACCCCGACAAATATGATATGTTCTTGAAGCTATTGTACAAACCGGGAATAAATACTGTCGAGTAGAGATATCGCACGATCGAACTGCCATGCGCGCTACAGTTAAGCACACGTGTGCAGCCATAATGCACACGTATTCATTTCCCTAGTGAGAAACGAATGACGTGCAAAAGTTGAACAACGCCCTCGAACTCTTCCCTCACCACTTCATTTTTCCTCTGAGCCAAAAAAGCACACATAAAGGCAGATTAAAAAAGAAGAATGTGCCATGTGCCCTCGGTGTTCTTCCGATTAGAGATATCGCACACACCAACTGCATGCGCGTCAAAGTTAAACCCGTGTGCTCAAGGAATAAGTTTCCGCGTGCCCGTAATGATACGAGCAACGAATGACGACGAAAAGTTAAACAACGCCCCCACCCCGCCCCTCTGTCTTCTCTTAACAAAAATAACAAAAAGAAAAGATGAAGGGAGATTGAAAAAATGGAGTATGTCATGCGCACTGGGTGCCAAAGATAAATCCATGGCGCACGCATCAAATTGTGATTGGCTAATTGTATGCTAATGTTCGCGTCTTAAACGGGCAACCAATGACGTCACAAGATTAAACAACACCCTTCTCCTTTTTCTGTTCCTTCTGTGCAAAAAAAAAAGTTTGATAAGTAAAAAGTTGCCATCAGCACTCGGTGTTCCCAGGTGGTCTCCCTCCCAAGTACTGACCGAGCCCAATGCTGCTCAGCTTCGGTGATCGGACGAGAACCGGCGCATTCAGCATGGTATGGCTGATTTTTTTTTGTTGCCTAGTTTAGGTCATCTTACATGTAACTCAAATGACACAGACAATAAAATCGCGCCATGTACAATGCGCATAGGTAGTGTCTCTAGTGCACCAACATATTGCTGGTGTCGCGTTAAAATTCGGGCAGAGTCACAAGATTATCTACCTGCGGGAGCCAGTCAGGTGGCTCGGGTACAGCTTTCTGAAGAGAGAGAAACCAGTCTATGCTCTCACGAAAATAGGCTCGAGCGGGCCGCGCATCCTTGTCGAAATGGTAGCCCGCCATTCTCGCTCTCCACAAAGAGTGGAGGCCCAGGAGCATGATTGCATCATATGGTACCCCGTCTTCGTTTTCAACATTCAGGAACCGGATTCCATACGGGTCCAATGGAAGGTCTTTCTTAATAGCTCTCTGCAACAGATCCCAAAAATACACGCCCTCCCAACAATGTAAGAAGACGTGGTCAATTGTTTCTGGTGTTTTGCAAATTATGCAATGGTATCCCCAAGGAGAAAAACATCCCTTTGCTTCCAAGAACACTTTCACTGGCAATGTGCCCGAGCGCAGCTTAAAGAAGAATGTTTTGCTTGCAGGCTGTACATGCATGTTTCTAACCCTTTTTAAAACACTTCTTTCTGGTCCTCCACTGTGTATAACCCGATAAAGCGGTTCTGGAAACACAATGTCACACAAGGCGAAATAAAGCTCTTTTCTTTTGACGCTCCACAGGTATTCGTTTGAAAATCTCACAGAAAGGAATCTTATACTAGACACAACTTCTCGATAGAACCCACCAATCCCTCCTGCACAGGCCTCGGTAGTCACAACATATCCAGGGAGAAATCTACTGAGGTGCAGTTGACACAGGGTACGCAGGAATAGATCGGTAAGGTCTCTAAAAAACAAAAACCTGTTCACCAGTTGCCACAAAAACAGGTGATCGAGGCCAAGGCCCCCGTCTTTAACCCGTCTGAACAAGTTGGTACGGCTGCATCGTTCCCACTCGGAAGCCCATACAAAGACAGCGAATAGACAGACACAGACAAAGAACTTTATTCAGGTCCCGAGGAACTGCGTTGTAACGGCCCCGTTTAGGGGGAATCCGTAGCAGTCGCGGGCCGCTCCCACGTAGGGACCGGAAGACCGTGGCCCTCCGCCCTCTCGCAGGCCCTCTGGACAGCCCGAAGTTGAACCGAGAGGTCGCCGCTGTTAAGGGCTTCCTCCCAGTCCTCTTCTTTGTTGAACTCTGCGTCACGTAACGCAGGACATTGCCAGAGCATATGAGGTAATGAGCAATACACCTCACTGCAGTCCAGACAATGCGGCTCGATGTTGGGCGAAAAATGGCTGAACCTGCCACGCGAAGGGAAAGACCCCGTTTGGAGCATCCTGTAGGCCGATGATTGCAGTCGCGTAGGTTGAGGATGAGGAAGTGGAAAAGTCCTCCGAGATAGATGATAATGAGTCATGATCTCGTGGAAAGTGAGTAGCGAGTCCCTGTATCTTCCGGCGTCCCCGCCTGCGAATCCACCGGGACCGCCGCGGTGAGCGATACCTCGCGCACGGTCATGGGCAAACTCATTGGCGTTGGGGACATCAGGATGTAAGTTGGCCCCCATGTGGGCCGGGAACCATGTTATGGTGTGAAACCCGGCAGCCCCCTCACAGCCGAGGATGGCCGCTGCCTCACGCGAGATCGAGCCCGAGGCGAAAGCTCTAGCTGCGGAACGCGAATCTGTAAAGACATTAGGACGCGATGGGTCCTTCATTGCTATGGCGATAACGATTTGCTCAGCCACCATTGCCGAAGCCTTTCTAACCGAGGCAGAGCATAGGAGTGTGCCACTACGATCGACCGAGACCACTGCGAAGCGATCCGAACGCCCGTACTGGGCTGCATCGACAAAGGTCGCGAGATGCGGTCTGTTTGCAACTGATTTTAATAAGGAACGGGCCCGAGCTATGCGGTGCCCTACATTGTATTGTGGGTGGACATTTCTTGGAAGTGGAGCTACCGAAAACGTGCCTCTGATCGAGGGTGGTAGTGTTACATTACGCTGGTTAGTCGCCGTAGGACCGCAGCCTATGGATTCCAGGATGCGCCTACCAGCCCTCGAGGACGATAGTCGCACGACCTGAGCCATCTGCTGGGCCTCGATCACCTCCGAGAGGGAGTTATGCATGCCGAATTGTAGGAGCTTCTCGGTGCTAGTGTGGATAGGCAAGCCTAGAACTCGCTTTATGCTTTTGCGCATTAGTGTATCAATTCTTGCCTCTTCTCTTTTGGACCAGCGCAACGCCGAAGCGACATAATTAATGTGGCTCATGAGAAATGCATGATAGAGCCGAAGGAGATTGCTCTCGCTCAGCCCACCCCTGCGGTTCGAGACCCTGAGTATGAGCCTAAGCATGTTCTCCGTCTTGGAGGTGATACGGGCTATAGTTCGTGAGTTGCCTCCCTTGGACTCTAGCAGGAGTCCGAGGACCCTGATGGAGTCCACCCTGGGTATTTTCTGTCCATCCCATGTGTATAAAGCTATGGGAATCTGTTCTAAAGGAGTGAGGTTCCTCAGTCCTTGTCGGGTGGGTCTGTATAGTAGTAACTCAGACTTTGCCGATGACAGGCTCAGGCCCGAACCGACTAGAAAGTTCTCCGTGATGTCTAATGCCTCTTGGAACGCCTGCTCTACCCCGGCGTCGGACCCTCCCATGCACCACACGGTGATATCGTCCGCGTAGAGAGCATGGTTAACCCCGCGCACCGTAGCGAGTCGCTCCGAGAGGCCCTTCATGGCAATATTGAAGAGTAGAGGAGAGATAACTGCCCCCTGTGGGGTGCCTCTTGCTCCCAAGGTAAATTCCGTGCCCCGCAGGGGCGCCTGCACAGGTAGGCGTTTGGTGTGTAGCGACACCACGGACCCGAGCTAACGGGGGAGTTTCTACTCCCTCCCACGCCTAGCCGTGCGTGGCTTTGCCGTGTCCGGAGAAAAGGGGATCCTGGGGGTTGAGCCGACGCTGGGTGATTGGACCTTTAAGGCCTCCCGGCAGAGGCAACACACCCCTTTGGCCCCGGCTTCACGTAGACGGCACCCCTGGGCTGACCCACCCAGGGGAAATCGGCAGTCGCCTTTTCCTATCTCTCTCTCCCTACATCTTCGTCTTTTGTT